CATTTTCCCCACGCCTTCTTACATGCAGCCACCTTGGGTTACAAGTCTCAGCATGCCATGAACCAGACTTCCACATGGGGAAGCTACTGGGAACTAGGGGCAGAGCTGAGCCCCTAGGTGAATCTTTAAAACACAGAAGGCAGGTGGGCTCTGGGTCTGACTTGTATCCAGGGACTTAAGCGGACTTGGAAGGAGATGTGGGGAAGAGACAAGTGGGTGTGACACACAGAGGCAGTCCTTGGCAGAGACAATGGCAACCGTTATTTTGATTTGAAGTTTTGCATCTCTCCTTTTGTCCTATACTTGCCTGACCCCTTTGGCCTCATCCCATTGCTGTGATTCACTGCCAGAGGGTGCCTTGGATTTGGGGTAAGCTTTCAGGTGTTGGTGTCCCTGCTTCCAGTGACTCTGTTCAGCTGAGCATTTGCCCACATAAAGAAGGCTAATTTGGGGAGTTTTATTGGGGAACTATTAAGAATATGCTGGCCCTCCCTGGTGGCGCAGCGGGTTAAAGCACAGCACTGAGAATCTAAAGCTGCTTCCGCATGAGTTCGATTCCCGCCTGCCCCGGAGGTGACCACATGGTGTGGCAGACCTCTCCTGCCCTGCCCGCTGCTCCCCTCAGCAGTGTACATCGTCCATCTGCCTGTTCTGTTCCCCACTCTATCTCTGGTGAAGCCTCTCGCCGCCCCTGAGTCTCTGGCCTGTACCCCAGTTCTGTATGCACAAATAAATAAATCTTTTTAAAAAAAAAAAGAATATGCTTTCTTCTTTTTATGTGTACTCTAATTCCATTAAAGATCTTTCACTCAGAGTACACTTCCTTCTTCTTTAGACAGTAGATGGCAGCACTGCTTTAGAGTATGCATCCTGTAAGAGCGTGGGGTCCCTAGGTACCCCTTGGTCCTGACTCTCTCTGTCTTTGTATATGTCCAGATCATTCAGACAGCACCTGTGAGTCTTTGGACTCTACAAACGGGATTTGTTATCACATCCATTTTATAGGAAAGGCACATGAGGTCCCTAGAGCTTAAGTCACATAGCTAAAAAGCAGCAGCATGAGTCCCTGAGCCAACGTATTCAGCCTTAGTTTTCATGCTTGTGAAGTAACTCATTCTACTTTGACTTGGAGCAGCTCTGAGAAGACAGAGAGGAAACTAAACAGACTTTCCAAGAGGAAAGTTAGACACATGTGGTAAGGAAAATGATAGGCTTGTGGCAACTTTCCAGGCCTTAGAATGCTCAAAGAAAACCCGTGGGTTTGAGTCACATAATTCAAGGGTAATGCAATTGCTATCAGTTCTGTGGCTTGCAAATGTCTCATTTAACTCCTTCAAATCTAAAATGTGATGTGTCCTTCACTCACCAACTCAGTAGGTGAGTTGATATGTCATAATTTAAGGCAAAGATAAGTCCCTCCTCAGCACCCGGAGGAAATCCAGCACACCCAGTAAATGCAAATACCAAGGAGGTTTCTTCAAATATTCTTCCCTCCCCCTAGCCTTCTCTATGGACAAGAGCGTTTCCACACAAACTGTGAAACCCAGGGAACCGGACAAACTAATTCATGTTTTTTCTTGTTGATCAAAAAGTAAGTGTTTAATGACAAACTCCAAATAGTTTATTTGTAAGAATTAGTTCCTGAGTCTTAACACAAATTTTATATGATCATCAACTCAAAAAGAAGGTCCATGTATAGTGAAAAATTCCTAACCAGGGACAACTCTGGAATAGAATTGTGACTTGGTGTTAGGAAATAAAAAGTGTAATTTTAGAAGTGTTCAAAGCCAATGTATTCAAATTGGAGAGAAAAGAAGTGTGAAGTGGATGAATTAAAACTTAAAATGTTGGGCCTCCTTGGTGGCGGAAGGGGTTAAAGTGCAGCACTATGAAGCTATCCACAGCCACTGTAGCATTAGTTCAATCCCAGGTTAGAGAGCTGATCCACATGGTGCAACAGACCTCTCCTGCCTCCCCACTGCTGCCCACAGCAGTGGATTTCAGTAGATCCACCTGTTCTGCTCCCCACTCTGTCTCTGATGAACCCTCTCACATCCTGCTCCTCTGGCCAGTACTCCAGTTCTTATATACGTAAATAAATAAATCTTTTAAAAAAGACAGAAGACACTGGTTATGAAACAGACAGTGGTCCCTCGCCAGAAGGCAACCAGGATGGTGACTTAATATCTGAATTTCCAACCTCCAGGATTCTAAGTAATAAATTTCTGTTATTTATAGCTACCCATTCTATAGTATTTTGTTATAGCAGCTCGAATGAAATGAGACAACGCCCTTTTACTGAAAGTTCAAGTATTGGGTTAGTTTGGATCACAAACAGCAGATAAACTCAAATGCCAGCTATCAATGACTGTTCATCTTGTGAGCCTTCTACTACCGTAATGCTAGGGTCAGCTTCCTCCACCCAGCCCTTTCCCATCTCTTTGCATCATGCTCCTGTCTCAAGGCCCTTACCATGTGTTTCTCAGGTAGCAGGTGAAAATAAGAAATTCAGAAGAATTTGGTGGCACAACGGGTTAAAGCACAGCAATAAGAAGCTAAAGCCACTTCAGCGTGAGTTCAATCCCCAGCCTCAGGGATGACCCACATGGTGCAGCAGACCTCTCCTGACCTGCCCACTGCTCCCCTCAGCAGTGTATTTCATCAGCCAGCCTGTTCTGCTCCCCACTCTGTCTCTAGTGAATTCTCTCACCACCCCTGTACCTCTGGCCTGTACCCCAGTTCTGTATGCATAAATAAATAACTCTTTTTTAAAAAATTCAGATAAATTTATTATCACAAGCAGTTTAACTTTATCTTCAATTCTACATTTCAGATTGTGCTATAGGCTTTGACGTTCATGAAGCTATTAAGTAGTCTCTTAAATCATAATAAAAACCACTAAAGTTGAAACTGGTGCCTCTCAATGTAAATCAAAACCATGAGAATTCATTTCATAGCTACTAGAATGGCTATGAAAAAAAAAACCAGAAAATAGTAAGTGTTGACAAAAAAAATCAAGAAATTGGAAACTGTATTGCTGGTATGAATGTGAATTGGCGCAGTTGCTGTGGAGAAAAATTTTGACAGTTTCCCCAAAGAAAAATAGAACTCCCATATAATCAACAATTACACATTGGCACATAGGTAATATCCAAAAGAAATAAAAGCAGAGACACAAATGCATTATTTGTACAACGGTATACATGGAAGTATTACAATAATCAAAAGATGAAAACAACCTAAAGGTTCATCAGTGAATGAGGGGGTAAGCAAAATATGTATACACATATAAAGGAATATTAATTGGCCACAGAAAGGAGCACAGCAATATGAATAGATCTTCAAAATATTGTGCTTAATGAAATAAGTCAGACACAGAAGTACAAATAGTCATTCCATTTACATGAGGTACCTATAATAGTTAAGATCCTAGGAATAGAAAGTAGAGTAGAGGTTACCAGTGACTGGGAAAGGTGAGAAGGGACAATTATTATTTAATAGGTAGAGTTTTTATTTTTTTAAAGATTTATTTATTTATGCATACAAGAGCTGGGGTACAAGCCAGAGGTACTGGGGAGTGAGAGGATTCACCAGAGACAGAGTGGGGAGCAGAACAGCTGGAGCCACTGAAATCCACTGCTGAGGGGAGCAGCAGGCAAGATAGGAGAGATCTGCTGCACCATGTGGGTCAGCTCCCTGGCCAGGGATCAAAATCATGCTGCAGTGGCTGCTGACAGCCTCATAGTGCTGAGACTTAACCCCTTGTGCCACCAGGGAGACAGACCCTAATTGGCAGAGTTATTACTAGGGATAATGAAAATATTTTGAATATAGTTAGTGTAATAGTCACACAACATTATGAATATATTTAATGGCACTGAATTGCATATTTGTGAATGTTAAAAACATTTTGTGCAAATTTAATAATTACCTAATTGATAACTGGCATCTCCCAAAATTTTGCTATTTTTATGTTTTTGTAGAAAAATATAAATGTAAATTATAATCTGAAATATAGGAACATGAAGATACACAGATAAGTACTACAGTCTGTGATCACGCAAGTATTCACTACATAGTGATCACCTACTGTGTGCAAAGCAAACATTATGCTACACCCTAAGGCGAGAAGCATTAAAAAAGGGATGATATTCAGACAGTGCTCTGAAGATACAGATGGCAGATTTAGCAAATAAAAATGCAGGCTGTCCAGTTACATTTGAATTTCAGGTACGTAACAAACAGAATAGCCCATGCAATATATGGGATGTACTTTTACTAAATATGATTTATCTGAAATTCAAATTTAACGAGATGCCCTGCATCAGTGATAGAAGTTTACAGCGCAGTAGGAGGCCAAGTTCAATTTCCTCCTTTATTCAACACACATTAATTGACCATAATATTCTCTCTTCTAGGCTCTGGAACAGCAGTAAGAAAGAATAAAATCGCTGCCCTCAAATTAAGATGTACGTTAAGTGTATAAGGTAAACGGTGATGAGTTGGCTCCGTGGGGGAGAGAAGGCCGGAACAAGGATAGTCGGTGCGTATACTGAACGGGGAGCAGGTTGCAATTTCTGAAAACTATGTCCAGGTAAGTCTTCCTGGAAAAGGTGGCATTTGTAAAAACGGGAATATAGCGCTATGTCTCAGGCCTGTGATAAAAATTTAAAATTTAAAAAAAGAAAAAACACTGCTTTGTCAAAACCAAAATGGATCTCCGAAACCGCTATGGGAAGACGCCTGCGTGGAGCTCAGAAAAAGGAGAAACGTTGGCCACGGGGGAACGCTGACCTCGCTGGACACCGCTCGGGTCGGAACGAAAAATCCGCCGAAAATTGCCCAGGCGGAAACGGTGATGACTGAGCAACCGCTATCGGGCAGGAACCCCAGCAGGGCGTACGGTTACCCTGGCAACAGCGCGCGCCGGGGGGCGGGGCGGCGGAAATCGGAAGGCGGAAGGCGGGGCGCCGGGGGATGGGTGGGGCGTCCGGCGGAAGCGGGCTTCGGCCGCGGAGGGCCGCGAAGATGCTCGCTCTCCTGTGGCGGTGGCTGTGCGTGGGCCTGTGCAGCCTCCTGCTCGGGCGGGCGGAGGCCCCGAGCCCCTTGGAGCCGCCGGAGCGGAGTCGGCCATACGCGGTGCTGCGTGGGCAGAACCTGGGTGAGCGGCTGCGGGCTGGCTGGGGCGGGGCCGGGCCTGTGCGGCCACCGCTCTGGGGAGCCGGCGCCGGTGCGTGGCGCGGGGTGTGTTGGAGTGCAGGCGTGACCCACTCGTGGAAGGTCTGGGCAAGGGACTGGGCTTTGCCGTTCAGCGCCAGGCCTGGTGCGCGGCAGGCTCTGTTATGTGCCTGTTGATTGAAGCACCTGTTAGTCCGGAGACCTGGGTGTCAGTCAGGGGCCCCCTCCTGTGGCTCTGGGTGGGCAACGAGGCCCATCCTGTATCGTCTACCCCCTTTCCTTGTGGCATTCGCAGTCATAACTGCAGTTGACATTTGGTGAGCATTTTCTCTATACCTTGTCTCCTTTGAGCCAAACGGTAACTTGATGACAAAGATGATTTTCACACCTGTTTTACAGAAAAGAAAAGCTCAGAAAGTTGTTTGCCCAAGGTTCCACAGCTAGGACGTGGTGGAAGGCCGCCCTAGAACCCAAGGTTTGTGGAGCTTGAGGGAATCCCGTCAACACAGGGTGCACGGCCTTGAAAGGTGCAGGAAGCTTCACACTTGGCAATAACTCTCTCTCTTGCCCCTCTAAAGTGGTCCACTGTGACTCATCATAAAATTGCATTATTTTAAGACGGTACATGAGCTAGTCGTCATATTATGTACCTAGCACTCTGCTAAGTGGTTTCCAGAGATTTGCCTGCTGAATCCTTTTGATTGCAGTGCTCAACTCTGAGAATTACACCCATGTTGGGCCAGGTAGTTCTTTGTTGAGATAGGGGAGGGGAGAGATGTTCAGTGCCCAGCCTTTACCCACTAGATGCCAATGCCACACCTACTCCCGTTCAGATCATCAGAATATTTCCAGACATGGCCACGTGGCCATGTGTCTACAGACCAGTGTGATCCTGCAAAGATACCATGACCTTCAAAGATACCATGACAGACATTGAGGTATTGTTGAAATCCTGATATTGTTGCAACATCCAAGTAAGTAGAGACCAGTTAACTCTAGGCAGCTCTAACTGGATGCTTGCAGGTGCAGGGCGCTGCTTGTGGCCCTACCTAGTGGGATTATGTAGTGGCCAGGGGCAGTCTAAAAGTTACCACCACTGGCCCTTTACCTCAGGTAATTTGAGAAACACTGCCCTAGACAATCTTGTGCAATGAGGAAAAAGATGCAGGATACTTAGGCAACTTATGTAAGGTCACGTAGCCTCTGCATGTCAATGGTAACCTAGATAGTCTGACCCCAAATGCTGAATTCTTGACCACTAGAATGTGCTGCCTGTCTGCTCTTAATACCAGCTTTCACCAGTCCTCTGCTTATATGCCCAGGGCTGAAGTATGGTAAGGTTTCCAGGTGGAAACCTTCACAAGAAACCCCTGTGAAGTGGATTTTGTTGGCTCCATTTTATAGAGTCAGTGATCATCAGGAACAACCTAAGTGGTCTTAAGATTCTGCCAGGGCCTGTTTCAGGTCCCTGGCAGGTGCAGAGTATGACTAACACCACTTGCAAAATGTGGGAGAGAGAGAAGAGGAAGCTGGGAGAATTTCTCCAACCCCAAGTGCATAGCTATCCAAGCAGATGTTGTGTACCTAGTGGCTCCTGGCTTTTTGCTTTTATTTACTTATTTTAAAGATTTCCATTCCCTTTTCTAGTCCACTATATCCCTGCCTTAGGGGTTTTCTTTCTTTCTTTTTTTCCCCTTCCAAAATACAAAATGCAAGAAAATAAATGGTTTAGATGGACAAAACCAACATTGGTTCCACCTGCATTCAGAATCCTGGAAACTTACAGAATTCAGGAGTTTTGAAAATTAAAGCAAGTGTTTTGCTGACAAGAGTTATTTTGAGATAATGACATTTAGATTCTGTTAGCTGATTTTGGAGAAAGGGACCTTTAAATTTACTTCCAACCCTTTGGAGGTCTTAGTCACCACCTTTATCCTTCCCTTCTGTTACCAAAAGAAGAAGATATTTTTATATGGTCAGTTTTTTTAAAACTGGGCTAAACAGCAGGGACTGGGGGGAAGTGTTGAGTAGGCGTCCAAGGTAGCCCCAAATTACTGACTTAAATAAAACTGGTCAGATGTTGGTTTTTCAGAGGATTAATAACCAGACTAGAGAATAACCACAGTTAGGCCCCAACTGGAGCCTGAGATAGACCCACATGCTTACGCATACACTTACATTTGCTTGTTAAAGTAACACCTTTCAAAACCTCTCCCAAGATCTCAGAGAGTGAAACAGACTTGCACGTGGTTTCCAGTCTCATGCTGATAGTTTAATACCCAGGTGACTGTAGCTAGTGCTGCGCCAGGACTCATCTGGTGCCATCTGTGGTAGGCTGCATTTCTCACTTTTGAGCGCCTGGGAAATTTTAAATGTGTCTACTCTCAACAACATTATAGGTTTGTGAGGTGAGTCACTTGCTTCTTTTAGCTAACGGTCCGTACCAGGACTCCCGTAGCGCCTGCACTACTCTGTTGCCTGCCAGTTTACGTGAGTAGTTCTAAAGATGTAGTTGGACTCCCTGCTTGTCGTCGTCCCCTGTCATCAGATGGTTTGCACATGGCAGCGAGAGGAGTCGCTTTCCCCAACTAAATCAGCCACTCTACCTACAACCCTGTCTTTAAACACAAAATGTTTCCTTCACCGTCCTCAGGGTCCTGCATGACGTGGCTCCAGCCTTCCTCTGCCTCACTTCCCATGTTCCTTCACTCTTTCCATCACTGTTGCACTCGCGTCCACCCTGTTCATTGGCTTCTGCACTTCTGGGGCCAGGCTGTTGTTGGGCCTGCAGTGTGCTCCCCCAGACCTCTCCTGAAGGTCTCAGCTTGTGTGTCACCTCCTCAAGTGCCTCCTCAATCACCCTACTTACTGTTGCCTCACTCTTCCACCACCACACTTAAAGCCTTGTCAAATACTCCTGTTTGTTACTCCACACCTGGCACTTGAAGCACCTGGCGTGATGCCTGGCACTGGGTGGCATTTGGTATAATCTCTGTCCTTGAATGGATGACGTCAAGACCCAGGAGCTGCCATGAGGGAGTAACCTGTTTTCCTTTTGCAGTGTTACTGGGCACCATCTTTAGCATCCTGTTGGTGACTGTGATCCTGATGGCATTTTGTGTCTACAAGCCCATTCGGCGTCGGTGACAGCTGAGCGAGCAAGTTCTTCCACAAGTATTTGGGAACAGATTAAGTTGTGTTATGCGCAGGTCGGTGGAGAAATTGAAATCAGGACTCCTCATTGGAAATGACCTTTGGCCTGGACAGTTGGTAAATGCTAAATGTAGATTAGACATCTAGCAACTAGTTTTTCCTAACACTGTATTGCAAGTAATCAGCCCCTGTGTCTGCTTCTCAGTGTTTCTTTATCTGGTTGTAGTTGTCAAAAATAAGATCTGAAGCACCAAGGATCAGTGTGAAGATGGAGTGTTCACAAGAATTAAAACACAGTAACTCTGTATGTGATGTAAAATGCCGCACTGGAAAGACCTAATAATCATCAGTGTTTGAAAATATGACCAAGAGTAAGGCTTACTGTGTAGACGTTCCCATTTAAGAACCATCTGGTCATAGTGGGTTAAGACTCAACAGTGTTTTTAACTAGAGTTGATCTAGAACACACTGGTTGCAAAGCAGCATCAGCTATGGCACCCTCAAGCTGTCCCTGTTCATGCTGCCTGGAACTCCCCACAGGTGCCCTCACTGAAGCCAGGCTTACATCAGACGGCCCTTCTACCACGCACACTCTTGGGCTGCAAGGCTCTGGGCCAAACCCGAAATGTTACCTGTTGGCCCATTGGAGAAAGAACTCCAGACACATTGATCTCACTTGTGTTGTACTACAGTCTTTCCAGTCTGTGGCCTACAACTTGTGGCAGCTTTTCAGATTTGGAATCTAAAAGAGTCCAAAGGAGATTCAGCCCTGGGGGCTTGTGAGGGGAGGGTGCAGGGAGCCTAAGCACATGCTCGGGGTGCCCAGCAGGTGTGTAGTGTGTTTACATACAATTAATTACATTTAATTTCGACTTTGAAAATGCTGCTGTTAGTTTGCACTGTTGTTGAACTGGATTTTCCCCTGAAATGATGCTTTCATACTAACAAAGTTGTCATCACTATTTATTTTATTTTGATGGTGCTAGTTTTAATTTTCTGTTATTAAATTGAAAGTCTTAACTTGAGCTTCATTCAGGCACGGCACTGGTTTCTTTAAACAACTTGTGCTTACTGTGAAATAATTGATATGGGATGCTGTAACTGTTTGACTTCAGAATTTTGTTTGAAACCCTACCATTGAGCCATTAAAATGTTTATTGCTCTGTGCTTGTAAGCAGATTTTCAATTAAAATTAAAGTCCTACATGCTAGTGTACTCCTAGTAGTTGTTTTCCAAGTGTTTACAATATTGGTGTGTGTTGAATCCAATTTAGTCTCTCAAGGAGAGAAATGTGAAATGATTTTGCCTCAAGGCAGAGTTCAGGAAACTGGGCCAGAATAAACCTCTCAGACAGGGCCAGGTGTCAGGAAACACGGGTGCTTGTCCCGCCCCGGTTACAGCAGGTTGACGTCTCCAGAGCATTTTTCTCTGATAAATGGTGACGTCCACTCTTTAACTCTCTTAGATGCAGTGGCCATTAAGTGACATGAAAAAGAATACAAAGGAAGGGGGACCACCACAGCCCGCCTGCCCCGCAGGAGCAGCAGTTACTGGCGGGAGGGGGGTGGGCTGACATTGACAGTTAAGTCCCAGGAGCGCACATCCTTACTTCACCTGGATGCCACATTTTGGTAATGATGCCTAAAAATGTATTAGCAGGCCCTCCCTTGGTGGCACAGCAGGTTGGAATGCTTTACTAGGAAGCTAAGCCACGCTGTGGCTGCTTCCGGGCGAGTTCGATCCCCGCCCTGAGGTGACCCACATGGCACGGCACACCTCTCCTGTCTCACCTGCTGCTCCCCTCAGCAGTGTACTTTGTCAGTCTGCCTGTTCTGCTCCCCACTCTGTCTCTGGTGTATCCTCTCACTGACCCTGCACCTCTGGCCTGTACTTCAGTTTTGTATGCATAAATAGATAAATCTTTAATTAAAAAAAAAAAAAGGAATGAAGCAAGAATTGTATCGCCATTTTGGGATTTTTGAAGGGAAACAGTAAAAATCTCCCAGGCGTGTGTGACCTGCTCCTGCTTAGGAAACATCATTGTGGGGAAAATGAGTGAATCAGCCTGAGGCCCTCCCGCCATTAGCATCGATGACCAGGACCTGCGTTCTTGCACCTGCACGTACAGGTGGTGTCACTATGAGGCAGAACAACAAAGGGAGACAGCCTGAGGAATAGAAAGCTGGTCTGTCTCCTGGCTCAGCATTAGAGGCCCTTAAAAAATCTACCAAAGGCTCCAAAATTGTCTTTTCGTCTATGAGAACTGACAGTAAACCTACCCAGTCCAGAACAAGCGGTGGGTAGCTGGCAGACCTGGGTAGGTTTGAGGTGGCTGCCACCAGCAGATGGCACTCATTGGCCAGCCTCCTCTCCCTGTGGGCACCTCCCCAGGAGTGGCCAGAGGTTGCTGGATCCCTGATGCAGTTGGCAGGGGCCCTGTGCAGAGTAGAAGAGACCTTGGACAGGTAGAGTGCCCTCAAGGTGGCAGGGGCTGTGGGCTGGGTGTTTTTCACAGCTCTGTGAGGGTCTTTGTGGAGAGGACCCCAACGTCCAGAAGCTGTAGACTGAGACGCCGGCCCTGCAGGAATGTGTGAGGAGGCTGGAGCAAGAGATCAAGAGAAAACATGGATGCTTGTCCAGCTCCAGTTACAATAGGTAACTTTTCTCGAGTATTTTTCTCATCTATAGAGGGTGATATACACTCTTAACTGCCACCCCAGAGGCGCCAGACTCCTCTGGAGAAAAGGAGGAGCTGGCCCCTTGTTCCAGGCCCACCCAGTGGTGACACAGAAAATGAAGAAGCAGCAGCAGCCCATGGCCTCCTGTGGGTCAGGCTGGGCAGCCACAGAGAGAGTTCACCAGTATTGCCCATACACTCAAGTGGAACTGGTGGACTTGGGTAAACTGTCAGAAACCAGGAGAGCCCTTGGCAGCCAGCTGCTGCATGTGTGGGACCTGGGCCTGAACGGGTGAAAAGGGTGTTTCCTTTGCACAGCACAGGAGATGACAGACGCCTCAGCGACCCTGCAGCCGTAGCTGAGACTGCAGAGCAGCCAGAGGTCTGGCCGTGGTGCCATTCCCTGCTGGGCTGGATGACGGCTGCTGTGCAAACAGGGTGGGCTGATGTGGGAGCCGTGCCAGCAGCTGAGCAAATGGCAAACACAGTTTGTGCAGGTATTTCGTGAACTGGGCATGCAGCAGGCCATGTTTAATGTACGTGCTTAAGGTCCTGAGGATGTGCATTTCACAGTAGGAATGAGGGATTTGGTACTGAAAAAGGCCCCTTGGTCCTCCTCTTGTGATTCATGTCTATGTGAGTCACCGTGTCACCACAAAGATAGCCAGTGCTCTCAGAAGGGAGGAATAGAACTGAAAAAAGGCCCAAAAGGCAAGAAAGCCTCCAAAAGTATGGAACGTCCTAAAGGCACACACACACAGATGCGACGGCTCTGGTAAAAGTGGGCGCAGATCACACTAAAATACATGCACAGCCCAAGGCATATTTTCTAGGGTTACGGAGACAATTGTGAGAAGACCTGAGGTTCACGCCCACGGCAGACGGGCTGCTGTGAATGGGGAAAGCTGGGGACTCCAGGTCCCAGGCATGCGCACCCGAGGAAGATCTGTTGTCAGTCCCCGCCCAGGGGGACGCCCTGCTCATTTCTGAATAGGATGAGGGCCGAGGGACCCATTCACGGGGGACGGGCAGAGACTGGAGGCCACGTGGTGCTTGCTGTCCACTAGTCCCCAACCAGTGTGCAAAGGGTTTTGGAGTTGGTGGATACGGGAGACAGAGTGTACTCTGTGATATGGGAACCCAGAGAAGTTTCAGGAGACTGCTTGTTACACTGACGGCTAGAGAGCCCAGAGTGTCAAGATGACAGCAGTGAGACTACTCATGGGATTGGGTGATTAACCCTTAAGGAGTATAAAGTGCATGCGTTCCAATAATGGAGAACCTGCTGGGGGCGGATATACTCGTGGCTCGTGGCTGCAGACGTGGCCGTGTTGCACGGACATGCTGAGCACCTCCCATGAAGCTGTCAGTCCCGAGGTGAGTGGCCAGTACGAAACAGTATGGGCTGCCAGAAGGCCACAAAGAAGTTGCAGGCATAATAGCGGAAATGCAGAAAGTGGGCACTGTGTGTGCTGCCCACAGCCCCTGCAATTCACCCATGAGGCTGATGAAGAGCTGGATGGCTCCTGCATATGAGTAGATTACCGTGAGTTGAATAAAGAGGGTACCCTATTGTGCAGTTGATCCAGCTAATGCCTTCTTCCCCTTTGCTGTAGCGCCAGCTTCAATACCCGTTTGCCTTCATGCAGGAAGGCCAGCAGTGGACGTTCACTGTGCTTCTACAGGGACACCTGTGTAGTGTAGCTCTACTCGGCCAAGCCTGGAAGCAGCTCATTTGGTCCAGGAAGAGAGGCCATCTTTGGTGTTCTGTACCATTACATTAATGACATTTTGTTCCACTGACTCTTGCAGATTTAGGGTGCTCATGAAAACATGTGGCTGGGTAGTTAATGAAAGCAAACTGCAGGGGCCTGGATCTTCAAGTTCTTGGGGGTTATTTGGTTGGATAACAGTTATCCCTCATGCTGTGATAAGGTGAAAACTTAATGCCACTCCAGCCACCATGAAGCAGCTGCAACCTTTCTGGGCCTCCCGGGTTACTGGAGGGCATTTATACCTCACGTGGTCCAGCTCCTGCAGCTCTGTATGTGGCTGTGGAAGGGGCCGCAGGGGACTGATTGCTGAAGCAGACACGCAGCATTTGCTGCAGCCAAACAGACTATAGAGCCGCTCAGGCCTTGCAGTGCTTTGCCCCAACCCGCCCCAGCATGTTACTCAGCATGTACTCAGGAAGCGTCTGGCCCGGCTCTGTGGCAGCAATCAGAGTGGCGGTGACAGCCCGTCGGGCTCTGGTCCCGTCTCTGAAAGGAGCCAAAAGTAGGCTTCCTTGGTTGAAAAGCTGCTGGCGCCGTGGAAGCGCGGTGTGCGCGGCTCTCCTAGCTACTGAAATGGAACCCGAAGGCTCCTGTCCTCCAGTGGACCACCTCCCCGGCAGCGGGTGGGCCCGGGGCTGGGCAGTAGTGCACACAGTGGTGCGCTCAGACGCCCACGTGGGCGAGGAGGGGGCATACCTGCAGCGGCGGGCGGCTGTCAACCAGCCCCTTAGGGCGGAGTTGCAAGGGGTCCGCCTCTCAGTGACAGCTGACAGCGTGCGGCCGACCTCAGGGCTGTGTGGAGCTGAGGCTGGGTCAGTCCCTGCCAGCAGGGACAGGAACCGGTCCCAGCAGAGGCCTGGCACACGGCAGCGCCAGCCGTGCCAGCCAGCGTCGTGGACAGCTGTGGTTCCACAGCCGGAAACAGGCACCATTTGGCTTGAAACCGGGGCAGGATGCAGCAGCCAGCAGCTGACTGCGAGTGGTTGGATGTGAAGACCCCCGAGCAGCCTGGACAGGCAGCTGGGCTGTGGACAGGGGCCGGACACTGGGTCTCCTCGTGGTACTTCGTGGCTGGACAGCCACATATGGGCCACTGTGGGGCCAGGCCCTGTGGGAATATCTACGGGACCTGGGGCTTCGGGAAAGGAGACGCTTGCCATGTCCCAGAGCCTCCGTGGGCCTCACCAGGCAGCCTGAAACAGGCAGCTTCACCCGGCTAGACGGTGGATGCCTGGGGCTGTTGCGACTAGCGAAGGTGCAGCCCATGTCTGAGCAATGTGCGAGCTGTTCCAGACTCACTGCCCATAACCTTTGGCCACTATGGGCCAGGTGTCATGGGGGCAGGTGCCCCGACACGCTGGCAGATGGACATCACCGGACGGCTACCCCGCTCTGAGGGACAGTGGTGCATGGTCACTGGTGGTCACATGGTGTATGGACACTGCTGCTGGCTTATTAGCCGCTTGTCCTGCTCCCCTGCAGGCCACAAGGCAGTTTCGGCAGCGGCTCCCGTGTGCTGCGCTTGGACATCCTCTGCTGGTGGAGAGGACCAAGAAGCCCGTTTTACAGGACACAAGTGCAAGAGTGGGCCAGTCACAAGGGCCCCGAGTGCAGCTTCAGGCACCCTATAATCCCAAGGCCGCAGGGATCATGGAGCCCTACAGTGGCCTGGAGAAGCAATGGCTGACGCTGGCCTGTGGTGCTGAGGCCCGTGGGGTGGGCTGTAGACAGTAAAGGAAGGGTTAGGAAAGGGGGTCCGGCTTCTGTGGCAGTGGCACCTCATCCTGGGGCTGCTCCCATCCATTTGCAAATCCAGAGCCGATGTTCTGTTAAACCCTGAGTCTGGGCCGCAGGGCAATCTTTTATTACCAGCCCTGACAGGGTTGGGCCCCGGACACGTGAACCGGGTATGACTTGCGCAGTGTAGGCACCTCTCATGCAGTGGATGGCCCCAATCACCCCTTGGGAACGAAGCCTGGAGCGGGGTCTCTAGTGAGATGTGGATGATTGGGCAGTCGCTGCCATTGCTGGGTGTTACCGACACTAGGTGGCAGGAGGCAATCCTGAAGGGAACATTTGTGTTGCGGGTGGCCCATTATGAAGTTGCCACTTGTTGCCTTAGCAACCTCTGATGCCTCTTCACTGCCAAGTGTGTGTGGTACTCGCAACCTGGAAAGCTAGGATGTTGTGCTTTCACAGAAAATTGGCTTGAATATTGCCAGATGGGTGGGATCTCCCACTGCTGGTGCAATGTCTTGATCTTTTCATGCCCAAGCACTTCAGTGGACTTAGTTGTACTAGTTGTATTTGGTTCTGTTAGTTTTGCATTACTTTTTTTTTTTTTTTTTAAGATTATTTGTGCTTACAGAACTGCACCTGAGGCACAGGCCAGAGGTGCAGGGGCAGTGAGAGGATTCACCAGAGACAGAGTGGGGAGCAGAACAGGAGGATCAATGAAGTACACTGCTGAGGGGTGCAGCGGGCAAGCCAGGAGAGGTCTGCCGCGCCATGTGGGTCACCCTCGGAGCCGGGGATCAAACTTGGCACTGAAGTGGCTATGGCCAGTCTGCGGTGCTGCGTCCCAACCCGCTGTGCCACCAGAAAGGGCCCCTGCATTATTGTTACATATTTTGTATATGGCGTTCCCCATGTGCCAAGGAAAACTTGTAGAAGAATGACAGATTGTACCGTGAAAAAACCTTAAGGGGTGGAGTGTAGGGGTTAAATTAATTAAAAATCAGGTTTTTTATGCCTTCCCGCATGAGCATCCATGACTGGCACCTGCAGTCTTGCAGATGCACCTGTGACTTAGGGCACCTGGGCCTAGAGAGCACGGGCATGTGCATATGAAAATGGGGACACCCCTGTGGAGGGGGTCACAAGGGCAGCCTCTCTCTGAAGTTGGCTGACAGGGGGAGGAGAGTCAGAGAAATGGAGAAAGCTGGTCTGCCCTGATTCAGCATTAAAAGTCTATATCTACCAGAGGCTCCAAAATGATCTTTCTGTCTGCGAACTGGCAATAAACCTACTCGGCCTGGGATGGTTGCAAAACAGCCAGCCAGACAGGAGGAGGAGCATGTTTAGATTCCTAAAACCACCTTGCTCCACACACAAATCCAGTTAGCACCTTCACTTGTTACCATCTGTTCATATGAGATTTCAAGCTAAAATAGGACAAAGAATAACTTGGTATAGACAGATTGATTTATTTTTACATCATTCTTCATTTAGTGCCTTTTTCCATCTCAGTTGTAATCCCAGCAAACTTCCCACCACCCATTCATCCTTGTGCCATCACATTCGTCCTGTGCACCTTTACTACCCCATTTTTGATCCCATTTCCCACCCCACCCCCATAAAATGTCTCTGGTATAGAATTGTTGTTTTTCATTTTTTCTTTATTACAATTGCCTCTTTCTCCCCACACCCCCCTCTCCCGGTCCCCTACACTCTTGCTATTAGTGAAACCACCTGGTTTTTTTTTTTTTTTTCTGGCTTATTTCACTAAGCGTGATCCCTTCCAGCTCCATCCATGTTGCTGCAAAAGGCATGAGTTTATCTTTTTTGATTGCCAAGTAATACTCCACTTTGTATATGTATCACATCTTTTTTAATCCAGTCATCTTACTTTTGGGCATTTGGATTGATTCCATGTCTTTCCTATTGTAAATAGAGCAGCAATGAACATGGGGGTGCAGGTGTCCTTTTAAATCAGTGTTTTTGAGTCTTTTGGGTAGATACCTAGGAGTGATATTGCTGGGTCATAGGGAAGCTCCATGTTTAGCAGTTTGAGGAACCTCCAAACAGTTTTCCATAGTGGTTGTACTAGTTTGCATTCCCACCAGCAGTGCAGGAGAGTTCCTTTTTCTCCACATCCTTGCCAACATTTGTTGTTGCTAGTTGTTTGAAGATGTGCCATTCTCACTGGTGTGAGATGGTATTTCATTGTGGTTTTTAATTTGCATCTCCCTTAGTACAAGTGATGTTGAACATTTTTTCATATGCTTGTTGGCCTTCTACATTTCCTCTTTGAAGGATCATCTTTTTAGCTCTTTTGTCCATTGTTTGATGGAGTGGTTTACTTTTGTTGAGTTTCATCAGTTCCTTGTATAACTTTGTGATCAGTCCTTTATCGTTAGTATTGTGTGAGAAATTTTTTCCCAGTCAGTGGGATGTCCGTTTTGTGTCATGTCTCTTGCTGTACAGCTCTTTAACTTGATGTAGTCCCATCTGTTTATCCTTTCCTTCACTATCATTGCGTTGGGTGTTATATCTTTAAAGACGTTACTGAGGTGTATGTCGTATAGTGTTTTGCCCACCTTTGTTTACAGGTATTTTATGGTTTTGGGTCTTATGTCTAGGTCTTTAATCCACTTCGAGTGGTAGACAGATTATAAGCAAGATATGAGTAAAGAAGATGAAAACATAACTTGGGGGTAGGAGAGAATTACACTGAAAACTTCTATGTGCCAGAAGTTCTATGTGCTTTGAGTCAAGTAGAATCCTTTTCCTGACCTTCTTTTGGAGTGTGAGGCAAGATAGAAGCCAAACCAAGACCTTATAAACAGAACCCATACTCAGCATACCTGCTATGTAGCCCAGTGAACACATTCCATTAATTAACACCAAACACAGGTTATTTTAGCGAACACTTAATTTTCATTATAGTTAGGATTAAGAAGTCTACAAGTGCTGCTTGAGACTTAGGAACACAGGACTCATGCTTTTTCTCAGCAACCCAATCTAAATCCATATATACGCTGGTTGTGTTTAGCTTAGGCTTTGACCCCATCGCTTGCTGCATTGCCGCCCTTTGAAGCTGCCATCGTCACCTGCAACCGCAGGAAATGACCCAATTGGTGTTACAGTCTTTTCTTTCTGGTCACTATTCAATGCACGCAGCTGCCTTGACACCGGACATTATGTATGACGTGACAGGCTTGTTTATGGAGCAGTGTCTCAGGAACTTTGTTAGAATTAGTTCCTAGCCATGTCTTACATGCAGAAATTGCACAATTAAACTTTGCTGCTGATTGATAGTGGGTCACCCAACCTTAAAACTAAAAAAAGAAATGATCAATGTTTTAATAAATATTCCATCTCTTGACCCAAGGAGAGTAACTGTTCTTCCCAGGACTCCATTGGCTCTGAGTATCACTATAACCACAAAGCTGAGCAGCTTCTTCACACTTTCTTAGAAATAGCAAGGTCAGAGTTTTAGAGCCCAAACAATTTGTACTGGTCACCACCTTTCTTGATTTACTATCAAAAGATTTAGGTGTAGGATAAATCTGAAAGCTCTTATGATCACCTTCTATGGTGAACTTCTCAGAATAGCCTCACAAAGTATTCGGCTTCAAAGAGCATGATTTGTCCTTGGCTTGGCCACCCACCTCAAGGAGCAGCCCTGCGGAGGCAGCTCAGCGACTCAGGCCCTGGCTTGCCTTGGTCTCCACTTGAAGCAGTGGAGTGGGGTGCCGGCCTGTAGGACTATGGCAGGAAGGCTGAGAGGAGCGTGGTACCTCTGGAACCCACAGCTGACGATGGGCGCCGTCCAAGGTCCCAGCACATACACATCAAGATGTGGCACATAGGGAAACAATGTGGAAAGAAAAAAAGAACTCAGAGACTGCCTGGGATATAGTAGGAGCACCCTCTAAGGAAGCAGTCTTTATTTGCATTTTTAAGAGAGTGAACACCAATAGAACCCCTGCTGCCACAGGTTGACACATGCTCAGCCCCTCTCTTAACTGACTTCCCAGGGAAAGTCAAAGACACCAGGGGCAGAACAATGGAATGCAAACGGAGAAATTGCTTATGATTCACCTTAGTGAGTAAACCATAGGGCCCTACTGCAGCCGCTCTGAGAAGCGCCTTCCCTCCAGGCCACACTTAAGTCGACAGCGCCAAGCTGCACATTTGAAACAAATGTGATGCTACATATACTGGCCTTGTGTGTGGACAAGGAATCTTGGCCAGACCATGGTAGAAAAGGCAGATGGTTATATGGATCAAAAGCACAATTCTTGTGACTAAGGAACATTTTACTGGCAACACTAACTGTATGATACAGACACTAACTGAACAGTTTATGTTTCTCTTCCCAGCCCCAAAGAAGCCCAACAGATAGGAAACAGACGCAGAACAGAGGAGGATATTGTTTACCAGGTTATTTCAGTGCAGCCTGGGGAGTAGGTACGCAGGGGTGAGGGCGCCTCCGCTGTATTTCCCCACGCGCTGAACGTTGTGCCATGGTTATTTACAGAAGGGTTAGACAAAATAGTTAACTACTAAAGGTATCCAAAAAAGGCCTGAGAAAATCTGGTTAAAATGTATAACCTTGTATTGCTACGGATGGGAGTAGTTGTTTTTCTATCTTTTAAAAATAATAAAAAGATTCTGTTAAAAAATATATTTATCCAGAAAGATGTTGATTTGAACTCTAAAAAGCAATGTGAAATCGTTTTCCCTTTTGAATAGTCACTAGCTCCCCTCACTGCTCCTGTCCTAATTTCATGTCTGTCCCTTCCTGGCAAGTGAACCTCGGGCGTGGGGTGGGCACTTCCAAGCCTCTGCACGGAATCCCGCACTAGAGAAGGCGTGGAATGCACAGTTCGTTTCTGTGTCGCGCCGTTATGCTGGCCAGCCCGCCTCCTGTAAGGACAGCCTTGGTTTCTCCTCGCTGCTCCTTCAGGGCCAGAATTAGCTGCCTTGGGTTTAGCCTGGAGGGTCCTGTTCTCAGAGGAACTGCCTTTACAAATTCAAATCAGATCCCTCAAAAGTGGAGTGAGGTGGTTTGAAACTATTAATCATTTTTAAGGCTAAGGCAACAACCGTGGTCATTTGTGTATCTTAATTTGATGTAAATAGTTAACCCTAATCTAAAATAGATCCTGTATATATATATTTATTTATATATATATATATATATATCTCCTCTTTAACTTTAGCTGGGGGTGGAAAGGATGGCATAAGATGGAGATGGATGAGGAATAGTGACAGTGTTCTAGAAACGCTGTATAAAGGTAAAAATAAAAGAGATCGGCACAGATTATCCATTTCTTTGGTGAACTGTAAAGAAGTATCTCATAAATTCTCATAAATCGCACTCTATAAAGGCTGCTGCTCTCACATATAAAAGCACCCTGACTCTGCAATAACTTGTTTTGTTATCACTCCTTGATAAAAATTAATCTACAAACCTGCGGGGATTGGGTTTTGTTGTTTGTTTGTTTGTATTTGTCTAAAGCTGGTAGTAAAAATGTGACCTGCAAGCCAATACAGCTAATGGAAAGTGACAATGTTCTCCTCCCCTTAGCATGGAGATGGGACCTGCCAGTCCCCAGCGCCTTCACCAGGGAGCATCATGGTTGGGCCTGGGAGTCCCTGGTCCTGCACCTCTGAAGGTGCAGCTGCATCTGCTGCAGACATGCGAGGTGGTCCTTCTGTGTCTCGGCCCCCGTGCAGCCCAGAGCCTCTGCTTGTGCTGCCCGTGGACACAAAGCTTTATTTCTCAGTGAGAGAGAGCTGTAACACTTGCTGGAGCTCCGCCTCCTCCTCCCGAAGCCTGAGCTCTTGCTCCTCTAGCTCTTTGGCAGAGAGCTCCATCGCCAGCTGCAAGTCGCTATCAAAACGGCTTGTCTCACTTGAGACTTCAGGGCACAGGCTTTCTGGGCTGCAGAGAAGGCTCTCCTGGATGGCCCTGGGTTGGAAAAATAGAGAGGAAAATGAAACAGTGCCCACCATTTTCAGCAACTCCATTTCTTTACAGCTTCCCCAGCATGTCCGCTGTGCTGTATGTGCATGAGGTCATGCAATCCCACATCTCTGTGGAGACATGGGCTGGACATGAAATCTGAGGCTCAGAGAGGTTGAGAAACTACCCAAGATCAACCAGCCACAAAGTGCTGGGGTTGGGAACGGAATTTAAAACTAACTAATGATGCCTATCATATAGGCAGATGCTTTATAAAATCAATCTCTAGTTTCCTCCCTTGAAATAAATATCGAATCATTTGTACCTCTTCCCCAAATGTCATTATCCTTAAAATTATAGAACCATCCCGTTGAAGACAGCTATAACTACATTTCTCAGAGAAGACCAGGCCAATAAGAAAAACATTTACTCAGTTCTTCATTGGCAATGGAAGTAGCTTATGAACTCAGTCATTGACTCTACCTCCCATTCCCAGAAACTCAGCCTCCAAGAGCTGAGGGCTCTTCATGATAACTGCTTCAGGAGGGCTAGAAGCGCTCAATACTTTCTCATGCTGTGTCTGCCAGGCAGATGCCTGTGGAAAACTCAGTTTAATCAGCCAGTCACATGCATTACCTCTCATATTGGTCATCGTAGACTTGTGTCTGGCTGATCCCTCCATTTGAAGCTGGTCCTGAAAGTTCCTAGAAGACACAAACAAGACAAACATGAATATCTCTTAGAAGACAGAGGTGTCATACTGATAAGAGAAGAAACAAGGACAAAATCTAATATGTATGTATGTCCATTATTTACAGTGATGTGTCAACAGCTAATAGGCACTTGGTTCACCTCAAAAATCACACCTGAGTGTCAGGTACTACATAGTACATGACTCTTGATTACAGCCACAACCTTCTCATACTTAATGCAAAATTAATCTTTTAAAAAGTTACCTTGGAGGATGTTTATGTGAACAAAGCAGGCAATTCTTTCAGAGAAAATTGTCATCTTGGACACTGGCAATTCTCCTTTGCAAAATTTATGATCCAACCAGGTTTATGCAGACAATGGGGCAAAAAAAATAAGCTCACTTATGTAGGAAAAGGACGCAAACTGAACTGATGTCCAGGGGCTAGCAGTCTCCCTGGAGGTCCCTCAGAGGGAATATGTGTGTTCTGAGGTCTACCCCTTAGCTCAGCACCTCAAAAAAACGAATAGTTCGCCAGATGGCTTCGTGGGGTGTGGGAAAGTGTTCACATTACTCAAGCTTAAGACTTAGAATAAAACCAAATGCCAAAAACCTGAACGATGGCGAGTGGAGTGGGTACAGTTCTCAAGCTTAGCAGCCCCATGTGGGCTGGGACGGGAGCTGCGTCACTAGGCCCAGGGCACACAGCACGGGAAGTGGAGTAAGAAGCAGACCCCACGTAGCAGGGCCCGGAATCCTGGGGTTGTGCTAGAGGCGCAGGCGCTCCGCCCTGGACTGTCCCAGGCGGTCGGGCTAAGAGGGAGAGCCGCACAAAGCAAAAGGCAGCTCTTCTGACACTTGTCCTGTCCAGCAGTTACAGGGTCCCAGCCACCTCAGCAGGGGGAGTGGCAGGAGCAACGGTTCTCCCACCCTGCCGCTCCACACAGGTAGGTAGTGGCAGCTGCTCCTCAGAACCCCGAGCGGCCTTTTTGTCAGTTGAGGCAGCGCCCCTCGGAGCCTTTTACGTAACAGTGCAGTTCCTGGTGCGGACCAATCAGGTGCGAGCTATGAGCTGATTGGTGCTAAGTGGTCCAATCAGACTTGTGGGTGGGGCACCCCAACAGGCTATAAGCCAAGGTCAGCTCTGTGACCCAGCCCTCAGAGAGGGCGGCTGCGGGGGCGGGGGTGAGGAGAAGCATCCAGCAGCCTCCCTCTGAGGAGGGCAAGAGGCTGAAAGACCCAGCACCCGCCTCTGACATCCCTGAACGGGCTGCTACCAGCCTGAGAGTGCGCTGTTACATAAAAGGGCTCTGATGAGCAACGGCCTCACCTGCTGAAAGGCCCCGGCTTGGTGTCTCAGCCGCTTGTGGGTGCCACCACCAACTCCCAACAAGCTGTGAACACTGGGTGTGTCTGCCACTAGTGACTGGTGGTGACCATCACTGACGCTACCCGGGTGAGGCAGCCTCCGCCATGGCCACAGTGAGCTCTGTGTTTCCCCTTTTTAAAAATAAACCCTGTGGTGGTTTATTCCCTGGAAACTGAGGTCTCTGGCACCTGTCTGTGGGTGCGAACCACAGACGGTGACCTGTCCTCTTGTTGGGCACAGTCTTCTGTTAGGCTGTAGCCGTTGGTTTTGGTTTTTGGCCTTTGAGCTTTTGGGGTGTCTCTGGTCTCAGAGCCCGGGCAGCTGGGTGGCCGTCCCATCCTTCCTCCTGCCCCAGTTCCTGCCCTTTTACTCCTGATTCACTATCCTTAGCTCTGCTTTTGGGGCGTGACTCCAACCTCTGAGATATACCCCTTATAATAACAGAACAAAACAATGAGTAAATAAACAGAAAAATAAAAGTTGCCATTTTCATCACATACGTACTGGTCTTTCTTGAGGAGGAAGTGAGGATTAAAATCTGCATGCCTTACACACATAATTTTCCAGGGAATACATGATGGTGGAAATTGGCATGATTTCCCAGTGTAATACTAAAAAATTATATATCACATTCAAAAAAATACATGATTATTAGCTACGTGGGCGAACCGAGGAAAGGAGTGCCTGTGGGCCTCTCGGTCCTGCAAATGACGCTGCTGGGCTTCCACAGCTGAGCCCCAACAGTAGCTCTTAGGAAAGCTTCTAGGCACAGAAAATAATCTCTAAGTACTGCAAATATGCCAAATTTGTTGTTTAGAGTGAGTTCTTTTAAGCTAGCTAAAAACCTCGCAGGCCCTGCCATGTATTCTGATAAATGCACCTGGCTCCTGCTGGATTCCAGTAAGCTCTGCTGGATGGCAAACTGCATGATCTCGTAGTCTTCATCCTGCAGATGCACATTCCGTCCATTGTCCTGAACATGGTAAGATTCCGGAATTTCAAACACAGACTGGTTGACCTCAAAATTTGTGACCTGGGCAGCTAAAAGGTAACACAACAGGGGATGCCCCCGTTAGTAAAGAAATTTCAACTTTTTATAAATTTTTTCTATTATAAAAATGATTAAATGAGTAAGATAATGGTTTCCTACTCTGCCAGAGGTTTCTGAGGTTAATCTTGATAGAAAAAAAGATATCAGAATACTGCTTGTCGTGTAATTTTTTTTAGTTCTTTCAACACAGAGCTCTATTTCCAGTGATATTTCAAAGGTAAATGAAATAACTTAATAAAATAACTGAATGTAAAAAAGTTTTTAAGTCACAAAACCCAACTTTTTGGTACCTGAATCAGTCTGGGTCCCTTCCACATTTTGAGATACAGTTTCTTCAGCAGTGCTACAGCCATTAACATTTCCAAACGTAATCCGTGCATTTAAGACATGAAACAAGGGAATTTCTAGCAAAATAAAAACTTGATAAGTAAATTTTCCTGAGGATAATAGTAATAACATTAGTCATCATTATTAGGCATATAGCCTTCAACTAGCCTAAGACACAGAACACTATTTTACCACAGTAAGTAAATTTTCATGTACTGAGTGCTTGCTATGCTAGTTCTGTACCAAATACCTTTCGTCAGCATGATCTCATTTAATCCTCAGCCCTCCCCCATAGACGGGTGGCCAGCTGCGAGGTTAGCAACTTCCCAGATCACAGTAAGTTACCAAGCTATCTTCTAATGTCCCGAATACACAACTATCAAACTTCCTGCATAATAAGCATTGTATATGTTGTTATGCCCACTAGTGCAGACCTTAACAAATACTTATGGATGAAAGGACTTGGTGTCAAAAGATTTTTGTCTTTTCTCAATAACTATTTAAGTAATGCATGACATAAACAGTGACTGACAGTTTTATTTCTTTTCACATCTGGCAGCACCATCTGTAAATAGAACTGCTGGCTGGGGAATCTTCTAATTTTGATATGTAAATGAGCTAAAATCATGACACTTCTTTAAACCAAATTAAAGGATAATTCTTACTTCTGGTTATATCTACTATGTGCTAATTTGCCAAAAGTGCTCCAATTCTCCAAAGCACAAACACCAAGCACAAAAAACTGAACCTGTGCAGAACCGACAAGTGCCCCTGTGGTTTCACAGTACCTATTTTGACAGGAAATCCAGGTGGGAATTCCAATTTGATGAAATCTCTCAGTCTTGCAAAATGAGCACTAGTTCGGGCCATGAGGTCAATGATGGGGATGACCTGCTCCACGAGCGAGAGGGGAAACTCTTCACACATCCAAAGTGTTGCTTTAAACCTACAGGAGTCAACCGAGAAAAAACTGAGGGCATCTCCACCCGCCAGGATGGGCAGAATGAAGTCTGTGCGCTAAGCACACAGCACTAGCTTCCGCATTCTGCACTTTCCCTCACAGCTGACGTTTCCTCATTCAGAGCATGGCGGGGACCAGAACCACGAGGAGGTCGGAGGACTCTGAAATGTGGCTATCAAGGGAAATGACCCGTACTCCGTCCTCCCATACCTTGAATTGTTGGCCAGCCTGAAGAAGCTGACAGTCATGGAGACCATCTCGTTTGATGGGCTGAGGCTTGCTGACGGGAAAAAAAAATCTTTAGGCCCTCCCTGGTGGCGCAGCAGGTTAAAGCACTGCACTTTGAAGCTAAAGCCACTTCAGCGTGAGTTCGATTCCCGCCTGCCCCGGAGGTGACCACATGGCACGGCAGACCTCTCCTGACCCACCCGCTGCTCCCCTCAGCAGTGTACATCGTCCATCTGCCTGTTCTGCTCCCCACTCTGTCTCTGGTGAAGCCTCTCACCACCCCTGAGCCTCTGGTCTGTACCCCAGTTCTGTATGTACAAATAAATAAATCTTTAAAAAAAAAATCTTTAATCTACATTCTCTTTAAAAAAGGGCTAATAATAAGCTGGACAATCTACTATGAACTTTTATCCGATAATATAATTAAAAATTCTAAAGGAGACAGAAGAGTGTGGCTGGCCACGATAACATCAAACAGCATACCTTATGAAACAAGGATTCGTATGTTCAAAGGGACCGCTGGAATGGCTTACTTTTGTGTTCTAATCGTGAGCTCCTTTGGCCTTCCGATGTCCCTGTCTTTCAGATCAAACTCTTCGTTAAAGTACTCATCAGGCGTGATGGCTGTGGGGTTGTTCGCGGAGGCACATTCTGTGGTGAGGTCCTGCTGAGCCAGAACTCAGGGGAATCAGAAATGCCAAACGCTGCTCACAAGTGGATGCCTATGGCACTCAGCCTCTGAGGTGCACATGTTAACCAGCTACAGAGCAGGAAGTACTAGTCATTCGTTTTTCTTGAATTAAGTTTCTACACAGAACAAGAAAATCTAAAAAAATGTTAGCCTAATTATGTGCCAAGTGTTAGGGACCTCTCTACTTCAAAATATTTCTCTACTCTTCTTTGCATTTTTATCTCCTGATGATAGAAGAGGAAAAAGATGAAAATGTCTGAAAGGACTTGAGATCTGGAAAACATAGTTTCAAATCCAGCTTTGTCATTCTAGAGTTTGCAGCACTGGAAAGGTCATTTCATTTTTCTGACCCAAAGCGACATGCATGGTACCAGCTTCATATCATTATGAGGAGCAGGTAAGAAAATGTTGAAAGTCCTCTGTAAAATATAATCAGAGATCCTTTTTAGGTTCCATCTTTAAGAAGAGGTCCTAGTTTAAGATGGGTCAAAAGCACCAGCTTCTATAATTACTATCACTTCTCTGAAATCTTTATCTTAAAGAGTCACCCACCTATTTCTCTTTCAAAAGATTGTCTCCAGTTCCACCCAGGGAATACTCAAAGTGAGTGTTTGCAAATGCACTGTCCTGCTCAAGACACCTGGCACAGAAAAGTTATCCGCTTTTTTTTTTAAACTGAAAGAACATTGCTTCAACTTACCCCTTGAGCACCAAACTGGTGTTCCACAGTTCCCAGCAAAGATTCCAGTGGGTTCCTGTCCGCTAGAGGAGAGAAAAGTTTAAGGTAGAATATTATACCTTACTTATAACTGTACAAAAATAGTCTCATCACATGTTATGGTCTCTGAACCAAGCTACCTGCATTAATGGAAACCCACTGAGGAACAGGTTTATAAAGCATCCTCAATGACCACAAGCTACTTTATCCTGTACAGTAGGATACGACACTAGATGAATAACAACTACAAGAACTAAAGCAGAAAGGTAAAAAGATTTTCGATTTTGGAGTGAGCCAGACTGCGATTCTCGTCTCACCCCTTGGTAGGTCACTATCCATGGTCCTGTGCCTCTGTTTCCCCACTGTCAACAGCAGCAGTGGTGCTGGTTGCCACGTGCAGCAGGCGCCAGCCTACAGGACACCATGCAGGAGCTCATCTAACCCCTCCAACAACTCCAAGGAAGCTCTAGTAGCACCTATATGTCAACCTGGGGAAACTGAGGCTTCGAGTGTCGTTAACTTCACAAACCCACAGACCCTGCCACTGGTAGGGCTGGAATATGGCAATCACAACAGGACCCAAGTTCAATCCAAATCTGTCATTGTGGTCGTTTGGGCTAAATCACTGATTCCAGTGATCTCTCTAACCTCCTTGTCTACTTTTTCAACCAAATCCAACCATTGTTTTTTGGTTACATACAAATAGGCCCTCATGGCTGGCTTTGATTATGACTGAAGCCAACTCTGGGGAAATACCTCCAAGAATGAGTCAGACTCAGACAATCTGTAAAAATGAAGTTGACGTAAGACAAGCATGACCCAGCCCCATTCACCTCCCAAACGTTAACACGGCTGACAAACGCTCTCTAGGTTAAAAAGGTGGAAGGTTACCTTTATATCTCTTTTTTTCTTCCTCAGTCAGATGTTCTGTCCGTATTTTGGTTATCACACTCACATTATTTACTGTGTAAACCTTGAGAGATGTGTGCAAAGAAAACGGTGACACAGGGAATCAAAACTCAAGAAATAAGCATAGCAAGAGCAAGAATGCTGAAGCCAAAAAAAGAAAAAGAAAAAAAAAGAAAAAAAAAATTACAGCAAAATAAAAATGAGAAATGGTGAACAATCATTAGGATCCTCCAGAGGAAAAAATACAAGCTGTCACTGAGGAATGCCTCAGCAGTTACTCTGATCTCTGACAGCTTAATACCGAGGAGTTAATGTGACAGGCTGTGTCTTCCTACTCGCCCTTGTTGTTGCCAAACAGTCTCAGAGGAATGTCCTGCCATTAGGCCCCAGCTGGGCCTCTGGTACACGGAAATACCCAAACCTCATCCTGCCCTTCTGCTGTCTGCGTGGCTCTTGTAATGGGGCAGATGCAGGCAGCTGACTGTCTGCGGGGCAGAAGGGGGAGGAAGAACATAGGGTTCTCTTCATAATACAATAGAGAAGTCCTGCAAGTCACTATTGAAAAAGGTTTCTGTATAAAGACAAAAAAAAATATTTTCAAAGCAGAAACAGTGCTCTGTTATCAAGACTGCCTGAAGAATATGAGGGGGTAGGGGGGCAGGGAGAATCTGGAAAATCCACAATGGAGTGAATAGAGAATTAATTGTTTGCGCCATACGTGGATTCCCAGCATTCAGGAAAAACACACAGCACTGGAATGACTGTTTCTAGATGTGTCTTGTTGAGCATGATGTAAGCTTTCTTTGCTCACTCAGAGGTCACCAGAGTATCCCGCAGCGCCTGGCTCCATCACCATAAGCCATCAATTCCTGCTATACTGCAGAGCTAAGGAAAGGCCAGGAAACAGCTTTCCAGCTGACAAAATGCCAGATGACTCCATCAACTGTTACCTCCACAATTACGACTATTTTCTAAACTCACTCATGTCACATAAGTGGGCGTATAAGCCTACTGGTAATGGGGCTGATTTAAAAATGGAGACCCATCAAAGTGACTTTCTATGCTTTTTAAAAAGACCCATCAGGCTATTTAAAAAAAAAAAAAAAAAAAAGAAAATTAAAAATTCTCACAATAAAAAAAAAAGGCTATTTAAAAAAAAAAAAAAAAAAAAAGCTGAAGTAGCATGTGAAGTCTAATACTTTTTTTTCTTTTTTTGTTTAAGCTATTAAAGGAGCTGTCATTCTTCCCAGGGCCCTCAGTACTCGTTCTCGTTCCTCTAGAACACTCTTCTCTGTGGCATAACTAGAGACCTCCTCAGGACATGCTCTCCCATTTTCTGAGAGTCAAATAAGACAAAAATCCAAGGGGGAGATATGAAACAGTTCTTATTCTCCAGTGCATCTCCAAGGCACAGATGCATACAAAAATCTGAACAGACTCCTCATTTGCAGAGAAGCTAAATAGCTATATTAAATCTTATGTTAAGAGTTTCCTTTTACCTTTGCTTCGTAACCATTAACAACTTCTGCTTTATCTGTCCTCCAGCCCCAGAATCCGGATTTAGTTCTGATAAAAAGTGAACACCACAAATTTCTACATGTACAATATGCCATTCAGATTTATCCCTGCAGCCTTTATTGCTTTTCCCCAGCTTAAGTTAGCGAAGGATACCAGGAAGTTAGCGTTACTGTCCACCAATGGATGCTGTCCATGACAGATGGCTTAAGCATCCTCCTCCCCCCTCCCCCAGATATTAATCAACTTGCCTCACCCTTGGCATAGAAAGCCCCTTTTCTTGGCTTCTTTACAAAAGCTGCCAGCATTGGTGACATTTATTGGGAAGCTGTCCCAAAGAAGTGAGTGAAGATGACCAGCACCCAGTGCCCCACCACAAGCTGGTATCTGGGTTGGATTTACTTGGGTCATCTTAACTGTGGGCATCAATGGCAGCGGCTCGATCCCCCCAAGCAGCCACATTTCCATAAGATGCAGGCCATCCTGGGGAGGCGGGCGGTGGAAACCCATCAGTATCTGAGTTACTTGGAGAAGCCGTGAATGCCTGCAAAGTGGCTTGGGAGTCAAGCAGTGGGTCTGGTTTGGGGCAGCAGGGGGACAGGATGGTAATCACAGTTTTCAGCCCAGCCACTGGCTCCAGCTCTGTGGAACTGCTTTAAAGCAGCCCAGCACACAGCGGCAGCTGCAGCTTTGGTCAAGTGCCCGACAACCCAGTTATTCAATTCAGCATACTCCTGGAAAAATGCATTTAGCAACCAAGAGACTGCTTCTTTTCCAAAGCAGCTCTCCCCGGGAAATGTCTCCACTCACCCAGGAGCCCTGAGCAGCCCGCCCTTTTGTCTAGGACATCACATCCTAGCTCCGCTGTGACCGCTGCGCTTGCTCTGCACGGGAAAAGGCCGCCTCCTGCTCTGGCCCCTGTGAGGCGGTTGGGCTCCGGCTCATGGCTAAACCAGTCCCCTTTAAGTCAGCAATAACTGACAATCAAGTACTCCTTGTGTAAACAAGGGCAACTCGCAGAGTCCTTGACCGTCACTGTCACTTGACGATGGGCCCAGGAAGGAATGGCTTTCTGCATACAGCCGACTGAGGCACCCGAGGGTGACGAGGCCCATTGGACTGCAGCCTGCGTAGGTGCAGAGAGAACAGGGCTGCACTTTTCTTCAGTCCTCACATCTCCATCTGCAGCCATTTCCTTCTCCACTTCCATTTTCTGGTAGTGTTCCTAAACTTACTGTCTACACCCTATTTTAAAATCAATATTCTAACAACTTGGCTCCCATTAACTTTACATCCAGAGACACATGAAGGTGACAAAACAAGCTTCCCTCTCTTGTCACTGTCACCTCTGTCTGTCCCCTCTGAGTCTACCATACCACAGTCAGCACTAGGCCTTCTAGAAGCTTCGATGTGATCTGGACTCTGAGGATGCAGGAAAGGTTTTGTTAAAGTGGGCAAAGCATAAGCTTTCAGAGGAGAGAAAAGTCCAAACTACCATCAGAGGGCAAATACTTGCAGGCTGAAACTTCATGTGGGAAGGATATCAATTTGCAAGCATCAGGCTGCCAGCAAGATCAGAAGAAAGAAAGGAAACAGACGACTGTTGTGACATAAGCACCAAATCTTCCACATTCAATTAAATCGACACTCACACCTCCAGTAAGAAGGACGTGGACATACTTTTTCTACTAGCAAATCTCACATTCAAGAGTGGCTCCAGTCCTCACCTGATGTACAAGCTCACCGATCACATCTTTAATTCTAAGTACCATCAAAAAAGCAGCTGTCTTCTAGAAACTCTCACTTTCTTGCAGTTGGTTACAAAAGAAGGATTAGTTTGAACTGTCTGAAAACCCAGTGACCATACAAATCCAGAATGTGCTTCAGTCCCTGGTACCAATGGCCCATGCCATCATTTCTCATCTACTCTCAGTGGGGGAACAGTCACCACCAGTCTCTTCATAAATGACACTTAACAATGTTTTGAGCAGCTTGGCCAGACCGGAGGGAACAGTGGCTCTTCCCAGGACATTTGAGAGTCATGGACTTCAGAGAGCCATCTCTAGAGTCACTCTCTTTCCTCTTTCAGCTAGGGAAGCAGAAATGTGAGAGACTGGAACTGTGGCCCAAAGCCACAGTTATTTAGTAGTTCTCAAGTGACACCCAGTTCTTCCAAACCTCGCCTCTGCTGCTGGCTGTGGCGGTGAGGGCAGCCCTCTCTATCTTGCAGCTTCAAACAAGCACAGGTCCAAAGTGGCATATGCCAGAGCCTGGAAATGTCCTTCCAAAACCTTTCCGGAGCACCACAGTCAGTCCCTAAACCCTGCTGTCCCTGAAGACAACAGTCGTCAGCTGGCAAGATGAACGTGAGGAAGCTGGTGATGGGTGGTTGACTGCCTTCAGGAGTGTCACTACCAAAGCAGCAGCAGTACCTGACCCACCCCGGGGACATTTGGGTTTTTGTCTTCTACCACAGCAGATACTCTAATTTCAAGCTTAAGGGAAACTAGAAAGGGTACTAACATGTTTTACATTCGATTAACAAAATACTCTTTAAATTGTTTTACAATTTAAACCAATTTTATATTGGAAACAAAGACAAAAGAGAACAGTTAATATATCCATCATGAAAAAACAGAGTCTACACCCAGGATAGTGATGTCCATGTTGGCTCAGGTGACGCTATGCTGCTTTGGCTTACAGAGAGCTGGATGTGACATCCTAGGCAAACACTCAGGGCTCTTATGGACTTACTCGGGCCATGGCCTTCTAGACTAGAAACACGTCAGCTATAGCTGTAGCAGCCTCTGTTTCCTTTACAAAGGCTCTTGCTCCTCAGGGTGGCCCAGAGGCAAATGACCAGAGATGATGCTCTCATCCAGGTTAGCCAAGGCACAGACCTCTCCAGAGGTTTCTTCTGGTAGAGTCTAGAATAGAACGGCACCCTCTCCAGACTCTTTCTTTAAATTCTTAGGCCTATAGGGGCTAAGAGAACCACTCTGAACTACGTAAGTGTGAATCTGACTGGCCAGTATCAATATATCTATATTTAATACTGGATCAATTCTAGCTCCTATACATTCAGAGAGCCACGGTTTGGGACTAAGGAGTCTTGTGGCTCCCCAAGCACCAAAACAAAATAAAATTCAAGTAAAATCCATTCAAAAGGGCCCATAAAAGAATATGAAGACAATTCTCCAAGACGCCTCCCTCTGATCCAGCTCATGTTCTATAAAAATGATGAGAGAGAGGATGTCAGCTATGGTTTCTTTGACTGCAGCTGAGACTCAACTTTAAAACCCACTAGTATTTCTTATTCCATATTAGGATAATCCCAGTCCATCTATAATTTCCAACTCTATACACAAACCACTAATATACTGGTAAAAGGATTAGATGTGAAAATGTAGAAATCTAAATTCATACCTTTCAAAAGCAATATTTTTAGTATCAAGGCTGGTGTTAATGACTGGGCTTGTGAGCCGCCTCTCAACCTCCCTGCTTTTTGGCTTCATCAAGTCCAGACTGAGGCGCTCCATTTCCTGGGAGAGGTCAAAGTGTTCGGTGGTGACCACTTTGTCATCATGGTTGACTTCCATCAACTCTGCCCAATTGTCTGTTAGTGAAAACAGCGGTGTAACTGAGCACAATACAAAGATGTAAAACATGAGCTTCTCAGCTAAAAGGCGGCATCTTCATCATCTTTCACATCCATCTCCCAGCACCCTCAGGGGCAATGCGGTAAGCCTTAAAGACTACTATCAATAATCTATTTGCACAAAGATTACCTGGCCAGTTTTCCACAACTCATAGGAAGCTCTGGACTATCTCTCCCAAATATACAGATGTTTAAAGTAATTTCTTTATTAACAAGAAAACTCCATGTACTTTTTTTAGATATATGATTTACATGATTAATATAAATCACAGAGTTAGTGATGCCATTTCTCACCTTCCATTAGGAGGGTCATTCCTGGCTATGAAAGAAATATAAAGAGATACAAGACAGAGTCCTGGACTCAAAAGGCTCAGGAACGTGAGACAGATACATGTCAGAGGGAAACTGCGTTGGGGGGCAAGTGTCACAATCAAGACAACTATCGAGACAAGATATAGGGAGTGAGTGCTGAATAATTAATAAGAATAAACAAAAAATCATAATGATCTGGACAGAATCAGAAAAAAAGGCACATAAATGTGGATGCATTTTGAAGATTAAAAATCCCACCATCACTCAGTGCCAACAGTCATTACTACAATGGACTCACTCACCTTCTCCCTTAAATATAAAACTACGCCTCCCTCTGATCCAGCTCATGTTCTCAAATCCCAGCAGTGTGATATCGACACGCAGCTTGGCACCACTTTTCCAAATGCGACAGACATCATTTGGGCATATTCTAGAAACCAAAGGCACTGCAGAAGAGAAACACACAACTGAGAAGAATCTGAGGGCTGAGCAGCAACTGGGACTCGCATTTTCATGGAAGAATGGGAGCCACAAGATGGCAACCGTCACACAGACTAGACCAGACTCCCATACTTATTTACATAGGAAGTTACTCTTAAAAAATACATACATACATAAAAATGGACCTTCTGTTCTACAGCTCTTAATAAATGTACAGATGCAGGTCTTGTGCAGAAAAAATCCTCTAAATGAACCTCCCAAGAGTGTTCTCCATCCCCAAATGGACCTTTCTAATGGACTGCCATCAGAGCTTGAATGTGTCCATCTGGCCTTCCTCACGCACACGTGCTACTCTGGCCATATGGTCGTGGCCCACCATATTGTCATATCCACCATTCAAAATATCAAATGTCTAAAATATGCTGCTTTTTAACAAATCCTGAAAGCAGAGCATTGATTTGCATTAGAAAAGAACTCATTAGTTTCACAGAAGAATCTGAAGTTCTCTTCTTTATATACTTCTTACTTCACTTATGTGTTTAATTACAAATATGATTTCTTGCCTGAAACTAGTCTGGAAAGGAAAATGACTAAAAACCTGGGTGTCAGAAGCTGCTGTTAACTGATGTGCAAGAAAAAAAAATACAACATCTATGAAAATGTGACTGCCAATTTGCCTTACATAAGATTCGCTTTGTTAAAAAACAAGTTATTCTAATGCTCATCTCATCGTTTTCCTTGGAGAATTTAATGTAAAAGAATTAAGCTGAAAAACAGAAGGAAACAAGTAACTAGATTTTGGCATATCTACTTACTAAAATCTTAGCCATTTAAACAGACTTCAAAAAATTAATAATAAAGATATATCAGTCACTTATGCATATAAGCAACAAAAGGAGAAAATTATCCATATATTCTATTTGTGGGTGCTTAGGAGAAAAAGCCCTATGCAGGGAGGAAAAGACTGGGCGGGAATCACTCAAAGCACTAACAGCAGTTGTACTTAAATGCAACTCAGGTGAATTTCTTTTCTTATTCTCATCTCTGCATTTCCTAGATTAAAAAATTTTTACCTGTAACTTTTATTAAGGAAAAATAAACCTATGAATAAACTAGGCTAAATAAACTTGGAAACAGAAATGAAATTTGAGTCCACCGTTACTTACCCCAGCTAGTGAATTCCCATTTCATCTGCACGTAGAAATCTGGAGCCTGAAGGACAAAGTGTGAAATAACTTACTCTTAGCAATATTAGCTAAATACATACATGGGGGGGGGGGGACGGACAGGGTATGTTCCCTCCCACCATACCCCCACAAAGAGGGGCGGGAAAGAGAGAACAGAGAAAATAAGAAAAAAAAAAAAACAAAAAATGCAAACCATTCAGTTGTTATTATTATATGTTTATATTCAGGGTGTTATCTTGTCTTGATATAAAAATACATCTAGACAGTTAACAAAGTTAACTAAAAACAAGGTTGGGGCCAGGGAGCTGGCCCACATGGAGGGGCTGTTTCCTTACTGCTCCCCTCAGCAATGGATCTCACTGGATCTGCCTGTTCTGCTCCCCACTCTGTCTCTGATGAATTCTCTCACCTCCCGCCCCCCACACTTCTGGCTTACACCCTAGCTCTTCTGCATAAAAATAAAATAAATAAATGAAAGATCTTAAAACCCAAAAGCAACAGGTTGGAGGGGACAAGATTAGATCTGACTGAGGGTTTAACCAGGTGCCTAACAGAACAGAAGGCCAAGCCTGGGGCAGGTTGGGCCCAAGAACAGCCCACAGCGGGATGACGCTGGGCAAAGGAAAGGCACACACGCAGATCCCATCTATTCCACGGGCCCGTGACTGTAAAAGATTTTGTGTGTCGAGAAGTGCTTCACAGGAATCAGGCCGCTCTGTGAAACTAAATGAGGCTGCTAAATATTACTTATCCAGGGTGCAGAAGACTTTTCTTACTTTACTTTAAAACTTTTAGAATTTGACTTTGGAAATTGACCACCAGGGCAGTCCTGCTGGGGAAGATTTTCTCACCTACCATGAATTTATCTAGAAGGTTCTCAAGGGGACTGCTTACACAATCCAATAGGTACCATACAAGAAAAAGAAATGTTAGAAATTCCAGCTATTTTTCTGTCCCTTCCCACCTCCCAAGGTTTTGCCACGGTTTTTAAAGGAGCCCAGGGCAGAAAAGGAAAAATATACTGTAGAGTAAAAAAGAAAGGTGGGCTTGCTAGAAGGAAACACAGGCTCCAACAACAGCCTCCGCTGCCACCAGGCCCACAGGGTCATTTCGTGGTCTGTCCAGGACTTCAGTATCCAATGCCATTCATTACTATGGATCAATACTTTAGATTTAGAGAAAATACTGTACGCTGACTATCATACAAGAGAGGTGGCCCTCCCTGCTAGCATAAAGGGTTAAAGCACAGCACTATGAAGCGATTCACAGTCACTGCAGCCTGAGTTCTGCTCCTCACTCTGTCTCTGGTGACTCCTCTAACCCCCCCACACCTCTGGCCTATACCTCAGTTCTTGTGTGCATAAAGAAATAGATCTTTAAAAAAGGTTAGTTTAAAAAAAAAATAAAAGAGGCAACTCCAGGTTAAATTATCAAATAGGCAAATGAGGCTTGTGGTCCACCCCTACAGTAAGTTAGGAAACAATAAATTCAACACTCAAACATGGCTGTTTCTAAAACAATGCTCACAATCATTTCAAATATTTCATAACCATTTCATATCTTTGGCAGTGTCCTGCTTGAGGGTCATAGAGAACAATTTTTCTTTTTTTTTTTTTTAAAGATTTATTTATTTGTGCATACAGAACTGGGGTACAGGCCTGAGGTGAGAGGCTTCACCAGAGACAGAGCAGGGAACAGAAAGGCAGATCAACGAAATACACTGCTGAGGGGAGCAGCGGGCAGGTCAGGAGAGGTCTGCCACACCATGTGGTCACCTCCGGGGCAGGCGGGAATCGAACTCATGCAGAAGCGGCTTTAGATTCTCAGTGCTGTGCTTCAACCCGCTGCGCCACCAGGGAGGGCCTAATTTTTCTTTTTTTTTAAAGATTTATTTTTTTTATGCATACAGAATTGGGGCCAGAGGTGCAGGGGGTAAGAGGAGTCACCAGAGACAGAGTGGGGAGCACAGTAGGCAGTTAGATGAAGTACACTGCTGAGGGGAACAGTGGGATGGTCAGGAGACGTCTGTCGTGCCATGTGGGTCACCTCCCAGGCGGGGATCAAACTCATGAGGAAGTGGCTTTAGCTTCTTAGAGCTGTGCTTTAACCAGTTGCGCCACCAGGGAGATCTGGGGATCAAACCTGCACCAAAGCGGCTATGGCCAGCTTGCAGTGCTGCGTCATAACCCAATTTGCCATCAGGGATGGCCAAGAACGAGTTTTCTAAAAGAAGCACCAGTATAAAAAGCAGTGGCAGTCTGACATAGCACAGGTGTTCCTTTTCTCAATAGGGCTATTAATTTTTCTTAAGAAATGCGTTTGGACGGAAGTAGCACAGTTGATTTATTTAGCAAATATCTTTGGAGCTACTTTGGGTAGCTCACGTCTACGCATAAACTGAGAATAAACAATATGAAAACGAAGCCATTGCTACTTTTTCATCACCCTGGAAATATACTGCTTTCCGATAAGGTCGATAAGGTGGTTCTTGCAGGTAACAAGGCTTATCCGAAGAATGGCAACCGTTGTCTGAACAATGCATGACCTGAGTCAACTTTAAGAAAGTTTTCCAAGTGTCACAGAACACCTCCACTAAAATTCACAAGACAGATACACACCCAAAAGGCAGTAACCCAATAATCTAAGATGTGATTAGAAGCTGCAAAATGCTAATGCTACTCTCTGGATATGATAGAGACAGCACACAAATCTTGGTCTTTCCAGAGCCTGAAAATCCTCATACAATAACATACTCATCATAGTTTCCCCACAATGGCCTATGGTTCCGGATGCTTTTTTTTTAGAAAACAAGTACCTAAAGTAATTGTTTGATGTCCACTGGTCCTAAGTTAAAATTTTTAAATAACACAAGCGTAAACCTGCTGACCCATAACCTGTGAAAGATCTCATACATTTAACAAGTTGGAAAGGCAGTTGTTTTGGTACTCAATATGTCATAGTCATGATTCCCAAAATTGTTTGGAGGTCAGGCTGTGTCTTCTGCTATCACGTCAGCATTTAACTCAAAACATGGCATCACCCCATATTCACAGATACCTCAAGAATTTTTTGGAGCAGTTCAGGAACTCCCCCAAGGGCCATGGACGTGTTGTGGTAGTCTCGATGTTGAAGAACTGTGTATACCATCTCAGGGTCACCGGTGCTGACGGCCTCATGTAAAACTGGAAAATAAAAAGATAAAATTTAATCACTTGGTATTTCCATACTTGTGGACAAATTCCAAAGCCAGTTTGAAAAATATCTCTACAGATCAAAGACCAACATTTTCTACAAAAGGGAGAGTCTGTACTCCCACTTTGTCATTTATGACCATGACTTTAATTTCTAGCTCTGAATTGATGAAAAGAGAACAGCCCCATCTCTCGTCCTTGCCCCCACTGGTTCAGAAAACAGACAGTATCTTCAGAGAGCTGACCTAACCGTGTGATCAGCGGGCCGTGGTGACACACTGAGCGGACAGGCAAATGTGTGCCGGCGTAAACCCTTGTGCAGTCACCACACATTACTGGGTCAGCAGTCACAACGGCTTGCAGAAAAGGCAAGTGCCAGGATTCCACAGGAAAAGGCCTACTTTCTTTCTTTTTTCTTTAAAGATTTATTTATGCTTACAGAACTGGGGTACAGGCCAGAGATGTGGTGGGTGAGAGGATTCACCAGAGATAGAGTGGGGGGCAGAACAGGCAGAGGTACTGGAACACACTGCTGAGGGGGGGAGCGGGTGCGTCAGGAGAGGTCTGCCACACCACGTGGGTCGGCTCCCTGGTCCAGGATCAAACTGGTGCTGCAGTGGCTTTGGAGAGCTTCATAATGCAGTGTTTTAACCTGTTGTGCCACCAGGGAGAGCCCCCACTTTCTTTTTAATTGTGCCTATTCTGATGGATTCTGGAGTTACCATCACATCCCTCTGGGGAAGTCTGGCCTCCGGTGCCCACATATGCGGGAAAGGGTTTGTCCAGAGAGCTGGCTTTCTGGATAGGGAGTCACCCTCTGGGAGGGCTTTTGAATCAGAAAAACAATTTGGGCCATTGTGATGCAGATCAGTCAGCAGCATCCTCGTTCTCATATGCTGAGTCCCATGTATCCCCTCCATCTTCCCCCCACCCCCCACCCCCAGGACAGAAAGAGTATTGAGATAAAGATGAGTCTGAGGATGCTTATGACTGGGACTGGGCTTTACTCAAAAAGAGAAACTGAAGTGAAAAGCTTTGTTATAAAAGTATACTTACCTGTCCATCCCTCACGATTTTCTTTTGTAACATCTGCTTTATGCCGGAGCAAGACTCTAGCAGATTCCAAATGTCCCAAAGAAACAGCAAGATGCAGTAAGGTTCGACCTCGTGGGTCCTGGGCCTCCACATTCTGTGAAGCAAACACCGCCACTTATATTTGGATAGATAACATAAAACTTCATGTGTTTATGAGATATTAAGTAGAAAAGGAAATAGTATTTACACATTCATTATAGCATTATGTCCAATCGCAAGTGCTGAAAGTGAGAGTAAAGAAAAGTCTCCCCAAGAATAAAAGCTGAGGACAATTTGAGTCACGTCTTGAAAAGTGGAGAGGATTTGAAAAGACAAGCCTTAAAATGAACTGCATCAGTGCTCAGCTTTTAATCAGGAAAATCTTTGCTTAGTTCTAGGCACCTAGAGGCACCATAGTCCCTCTCCTTGGGAGCCTGACTTGGGCTTGGTGTTTGAGTGGTAAAACCATAAAACATTGTGTATGCAAGCGAACAGCCAAGGTGTGTCCAGCATTCATGCAAATGGGAAATACTTGTGGGAAAGAGCAGTCGAGAAAGACTCACAAAGTAGGGAGGATTTAAACCCAACCTTACTGAACAAATAGAAATTATTTACTTGAAAAAACGAATACCTGCACCTTGCTCGGCTGAAGTAGGAGTTTGGGGAGTGAAAAGGTTACAGTTAACTGAGTTTCTTCTAAAGTTAGGTTTCTAAAAAGGAAACACTGCCTACAGATCTCAGATCATCAAACACAAACTTTGAACAGCATTCAAATTAAGTCTAAATAAGGCTAGATAGGTGCTTCATGAAAATCAAGCACCCCCGACACATGGGGGATTTCTCAAGCATGTATCAGCATTCAAGTCTAGAACAGGAAGTGCAGGATTTTCATCAAAACTGAAAGCACAAAGATAACTTAGGTCAGAATAAAATTATATTCTCTAGTGGATAGCCACCAAATTGCCATGTTTAATGTTGTGTATTCAGTCCCAAGTGCCCTGAAGAAGCAGCTGCTGAGGGTCCTACAGACAAAGGGCAGGCCCTGTGTGAAAACACATGTGTGAAAACACACATGTGCCTTTTTGGTCCACTTCCTCTTGAGGGCTTTCTCCTGCATGCCAGACATGCAGATTTGGCTTTTATTCTTCATTCCTAGTCAGACTCCTTCCAGGACCTGCAAATGAGTCTCCAGAGGTGAGTGGCAGATTCTCTGGCATGAACTCAGTCTGAGTAACTGGGCGCTCCTTCCAAAGACAACTCTGAATAGTCTTCCAGGACAACAGCAAACTGCCATGGGAATTTCAGAATGTAAAAACATTTTAAATGCCATCATACTTCTTAGGAAATGTATTCTATCTTGATTTGAAATGCTAATGTTGTCAAGTCATCAAATGCATTCTTCATGTCTTATCTAGAATGTGTCACTTGCTGGCCACAGAGAAGAAAGGTAAGTAGGCCTGTGGGTTCATCACTACAACCCAGCAGCTACTAAAAATGCCTAAGCTAATTTGTTAATATTGTGCTGTGAAGATAGGAACTGTTACTGAAGAATAATAGAACGGCTGAAGACATTCTGCTAAGAGAACACACATCCTCCTGGACCATCCCCAGGCTCAGTGTCCTCTCAGACACTGAAGATACCAACATGCTGGAAAGGAGCCCACATCACCTCCCAGGAATCCATGACTTTTCCCAAGGGTATAGTTTGTGTCTTTCACCAAAGAGATGCAAGTGTTATATTTCCTAGTGTCTGCCAACCTGGTATTTTAAAAAACAGTAAGGCTAAAATCTATGAACTTGAAATTTAGCAAGAAAAATATTTAGCAAGTTAATTGCATCTTTATACATCTATTATATAAGCTTAAGGAGCTCAACCTATATGAAAGGGGCTAGGTATAGTGTAGTGCCCAACACATAGAGGGTGTTTAGCAGTCTTTATCACACCACAGAACAAAACTAATATTAAATACTCAAGCTCTTGCGCAGTGCTTAGATATGATGTGTAAAAGCAAAGTTGGATACATTACGCTGTTGACTTTTTTTTTTTTTTGGACTATAGGGAAAACAATGTATGAGCCATACAGCAGCACACTAGTATGGCTAATTAGAACTCTTCAGAGGCTCCTGTGCCTTTCTCCCTCAGATACTAAATAGAAAACCACAGACCAACATCTCCTATGAATGTAAATGCAAAAATCCTCAATAAAAAACCAGCAAAGCAAATTCAGAAACATATAAAAAAGGGTCACTATACATCATGACGAGAGTGAAATATATCCCATGAATGCAAGGATGGCTTATTAATGCAATACACCATGTCAACAGAATAAAAACAAAACTCACACCATCATCTTAATAAATGCATGCTGTGTCCTGAGTATTTGGGGCCTCTCTCCCTCCCGTTCATATGCTGGAATCCTAACCTTCGAAGATGACAGTCTTAGGAAGTGGGCCTTTGGGTCATGAAGGTTGCGCCTTGATAAAAAGAAGTCCTAAAAAGTTTACTAGTTCCCTTCTACCATATGAGGACACAGTAAAAAGATACCTGCTATGAACCAAGAAGAATGCCCTCCACCTCAAATTGACAGGCCCTGTGATCTTATATACCTTGATCCCAGAACTGCAAGACAGCTGGAGGCCTACCTGCCTGGTTCTGTGGCTACATGGGCATAGGACAGACATGTATATTAACAGAATTCAGAAGGGAACTAGAAGAACCATCTGGTATGAAAAGGCAGTTGGAGGGGAAAAATTAATGAAATACAATTTAAAGTCCCAAAACAAATTTATGTATTTGTGGTCTGATTTTCAATAGAGTGCCAATATAATTCAATGGGGAGAAGAATAATCTTTTCAACATGACGCTTGTATAACTGCTAAGTTTTTATATATAACACATGAAATAATTGCAGAAATACATGAAAATTAGCTTCAAATTTATCATAAATCCAAATGTCAGCGCTTAAAAAAAACTCTTAGAAGCAACCAGAAGAAAACCAAATAAATCGTACCATATCAGAATTGAAAATTTGTGTACTTCAAATGATGCTAGGAAATAAGACAATACAGAATGAAGAAAATATTTCCAAGTTATATATCTGAGAAGGGACTAACATTCAGAATCTAAGAAGCACTCTTACTACTCAAGAATAAAAAGACAACCCAATTTTTAGACGGATAAAAGATTTGAATAGACATATACAGAGGGTCAGCACGCACATGAAAAGAAGCTGACCATCACTCATTAGGTAACTGCGAATCAAAAACACAAGGAGGCACCACTTCATAGCCACAAGGGTGGCTACAGCCAGAAAGACAGTATCAAGTGTAAACTAGAATATGGAGAAAACAGAAGCCTCATACACTTCGGGTGGTAATGGAAAATGGTAGAGTCACTTTGAGAAGTCCCTCAAAAAGTTAAACATACATTCATATGAACTTGTAATTCCTCTCCTAGATGTTTATCCAAGAGAAATAAAAACATAAAATCATATGAAAACCTGGACACATATGCGCATAGCAACATTATTCATAATATTACAGGATAGGGAGAGACCCCAAGACCCCAAACATGCCTGCTCCAAATAGGTTCTACCATCCACCGCATCAAAACAAAACATGTCTTAACAGAAAGGAACTTTAATCAGTGTGCAACAAAGAAAAGGGGAAGAATATAGTCTCCAGATCAGGCATCCAAACTTACCCACCCCCTGTGGGCAAACATCCAGCCAAACAGGGCTGGGCCAAAGCAGAGCCAGTGAGGCCTGAAAGCCTGCCACAAGTCTAAATTACCTTTTGGTGGGAACTGAAGCAAAAGGGCAGAAGGATTCCCCGCATGTGTGGAACAAGAGGAACAAAATTAAGATAAATGCTGCCATCGTCAACCCCCACATGGGTCTCTCGCCCACATCTGTTTAAACAAGTTCAGGACCAAGAAGCAAGCTCAACTTCTTCACGTCTCTCTGTTTTATGTGCCTTCTTCAGGTCTCCTTCTGGCTCTTCATCCTTCCTCCTTCCTTGACCAGCCTCCTCTCCAGCTTCCTCTCCCTGCTCGGCTCCACCCTCCTTTGGGTGGGGCAGGGAACCTGGAACCTCCCCTTTCCCTGGAGATCACCCTGTAATAATAATAGCCCAAAAGTTGGGGAAAAAACAAATGTCTAGCTACTGACAAATATATAAATGAAACATGGAGAATGGATAAACCATAGAATATTATTCACCCATAACAAAGGAATAAACCACTGATACCTGCCACAATGTAGATGAATCACAAAACAGCATATTAACTAAAACACACACACACACACACACACACACACACATTACATATATTATTCCATTTATGCAAAATGTCCAGCACCGGCAAATGTATAAAGACAGAACATAGATTACTGTCTGGCTAAGGCTAAAAGTGATCCCAGTAACTTAAGACTATAAATTGTTATGGATGGTATGTACCCCCTGCAGGGGTCTGCTGATAGAAAACAGAGCACCCCAGAAAGGTGATAAAAGTGGAGTGAAGCAACAGTAAAAGTATATAAGGGGGTGCTATGCAGGCCCAAGAGGGTGCTCTGGGCACAAGAGAGAAGGAGTTGTGCAGTGCAGGTGCAAGAAAGGCCTAGCCAAGGCTGCAGCAGGTGGCATCATGATGGCACTGGGGGGCCCCAGGCAGCAACTCAAGGGCTTCACAGAGCAGTGCTTTGTTAGGTCTGGAGGAGAAAGGGAGACCTGAAGAGTGGACTGAAGAGAAAGGGAGACCCAGAGCCCGGTGTCCTAGTAAAATGCATTAGTGTGGCCATTTGTTGGGTCCTTCGGCTGCTACAACTGGTTTGGAGGGTCGCTTGTTTGGTGCTGTGCTGGGGCACCTCCTGTTGTATTCTTTGCTGTGTCTGCAAGTCGAATCCTGGTCTATAGTTTGGCTGCTATGTGTCCACAGCAGCAGGAAGATGCCATCTTAGACACATGGCCTATTGTTCAGGAGAGGAGCTGCCCATCCTCAGTGGCGGGAAGATGCCATCACAATGGTCTTTGTGCAGGGTTCTGTGGACAGTATTGGACACGACTCTGGGTTAAGTAAACAGTCACTATTAGCCTCAGTAACTCTTCTTTTTGGTT